CGGTACCTCACAAGCTTCATAGTTTCATGTCCCGTTGCATTACCGTCCTCGGCGTCCACCGCTCGCCACGTCTTAGCCCAAGTGTTTCTAGGCGGATTACGTATACAGTGCACGGGGCTCGGTCAATAAGTGGGTCACAGCTCACAAATCCCACAAAAGCAAGTCCGAAGACAGTACACGGGCAGACTCCGTACCAATCAGTGGGTCACAGCTCCACAAATCCAACAGAAGCAAGTCCGGAGACAGTGCACGGGCAGACTCCGTACCAATCAGTGGGTCACAGCTCCACCAATCCAACAAACCCAAACCCGGACAAGCAGAAAAACCAAGAAGATAAAAAAAAACCCTAAAAACAAGCGTCTCTAGAAACACTACCTCCCTAACAGCGTAAAATTAGCAAACAGTGCCAGGTTAACCTACCTCGGCCACGAGGGTTTTCTTAATGGGGGACCAACGATGTCGGGTGCCCCTAGGAGTCTCTATCGGGAATTGGACGGCAGATAAATCCCCTCTCGGGAAACTTGTGCACCCAAGCAACAAGTCGCAGTAGCCGCGGCGGAAGGCTCGATCCCCAAACTCGGGAAATTTAAAACCAATATTGCAATGACCTTCACCAGGCTTTTGCCGCCATCAAATCCATCGAGGAAAAAAGGAGTCCCAAAACCCCGTTCACCACCTTAAATATAAGTCCTCAGCCACAAAAAAATTGGAGGGAATCGAGGCCTGAGAATAGGAACCGATCGAAAACTAACAAAACAAAATAACCCTAGGCACAATACCAACCTAACACTTCCAAACCAATACTTCGGAAATCCGGAACAGGACTACTACGGACTTCGATAGAAAAATCTACTGCTTCGCTGTAAAGCAGCTTTGTATAACGTTGAAAAAAAATAAAACCCATTAGGAATCAATTTTCGGGAACTATGCAACCAGTATTTTACCAACCCACAGATGCCGCGCTAAGCCTCTAATCGGCGTTAGCCACATTCACTAAAGACTCTCGCCCAAATAATACGACGGTCCTAATCTTTGATAAATTAATATCTTAAATACGCCAATAAGGGGTAATAATAAAACGGAACCGTGACAGGGTTCCGGTTAGAGAGAATGGTTTTCCAAGAAGTGCTTCTCACAAGCCAGATCTTCTGGAGAATTAAAAGGCACTTCCGGAACATCTTCCAACTCCCAGAGTCTCTTCAAGTCGTCTTCTAGTGGAGCTGAAGTGTCAATAAACCCACACAACGAAGTTGAAGGTTGATATAATGACTCAGATAATTTTCCTATAAAAGCGAAACCAAAAATCGTATTGACCAAAGCGGGCGAATTCTCTGCTCCGGGACAATATTGTTAAGAATTGCTGCAGATATATTGAAGTGAGGATCAGCTAACTTAATATTCCGACATGGAGGTACCACTTCTTTACAAATGTATCTTCCAGACATAGCAGACGAAATCTAGTCAACCACAACAAAATCCACCTCTATGATGATGAGATGATCGGACTAGAGTTATTGTGCCAGTAGCCCTTATGGACCGATCTCCGAGGCCATGAATGGAGCGATCTGTGTGCACGAACTTAACACGCAGAGTATTAAAACATGTTTCAGTGATCAGACTAACCTGGAGAGGCTATTATCTTCATTCGGGTTTAAAGGCCGTCGTCGATTGGAATTACTTCCTAACGTTTCGCTAGCACGAGTGGCGAGCTTCTTCAGAGGTCCTTCCATCTCCGATGCAGAACGTAGACTACTCCCGTGTTTTTCGAAACTAAGGAACTAGGCTCATCAAACGGTTGGTACTGAATTGCTGTGCGAGCTTTTCAAATACTGCACTTAGATTTCGACTGACAGTCCGATGACAAATGGAATGAACTCAAACACAAAAGGCATAATTATCGTTATTTTGGCAAACGATACATGTCGAGGGGTGATTTTTTAATGAATGCTGGACATTCTAGGAAAGAGTGGGTCGTCCAACAAAGGGGACAGGCGCTCGCTTCGCTTGAATTTAAGAAACATGGGGAGTCGGATTTCGAAGAGAGAGAATGATTATTTTGATTCTTAGTATTATTGATATGCTTCGTAAGCGAATTACTACTAAAAATGTTAGATGAGCTAGCGATGGAAATCTTTTCCAGAGGGGTACATTGGTTCTCCAGAAACGATTTGAAATTCGAACATTTTCGTATCTCGTTCGAAGCATTTTCCAATTCAAACCTCTTGATTGTTGTCGAAAATAATTCTTTTAGAACGACCTCAAAAATCAAAAATGACCATTCTTCAGTTGTAAGTCCTAGCGCTTTCAGAGCTTCCAAATTTTTCGATACACAATCTAATAAATTTCTGAGTGAGTCTGGAGAATCCAGTTTAACTCTAGGAAAGTCAACAATTTCATGATAAGTGCCTCAAATGTAATCAAATAATTATCGCCTACATTGGGAATTGCTCTCACGATGGACGATGGATTGTTCGACAAGTAAGAAGTTATATATGTTATGTATGTTGTCATGAAACAACCCAGTACATAATTCAATGAAGGTTGGCCAATCTTTCAAATTACCATCAAAATGAGGAATATCTAATTTAAGGTGAAAAAAACTAAGCAAACGCAGAGTCTGAGAATATGTCTTGAGTTTTTGGGTCAACCACGTTCTTTGAAACTAAATCGTGATGAACCGCTTTTACCGAATAAACATGTTAATCAAAAGTATTCAATATAGCACACTCAGCTTGAACGTCAATGTTTCAAGTATAGAGTCGTGAATACTATTAAACTCTTCCCTTATATCTGTTAAATCCTCGTAATGCATCTTAAATTTAAATAAATTTTTCGAGTCCAATACAGCAACTTGTGCTGCTGCCTCCAAAGAATAAATTATCTCTGACCATTATGCGCGCTTGGCGTAGTCAACCCCGAGTACAACAAAAAAAGCGATGCTGCTTTTCGGGCGCTGACCACCAAAACAAAAAAAAATACGAAAAAACTATCTCTTACTATAGGTTAATCCGCGTCGTAAGTGACCAAAATTTAGTAATGATGTTTATTAAAAACTGAAGGCTTAGATAGTGTATTGATTGTAAAATTATTTGCGTTGAGTCATTAAAATTTCGAATTCTCTCTGCGTAGACTTTTTCTTTTAACTCTCCCAAAAATAAAGGGTCCAGGAAAGTAAAATCTGGACTATTTGGTGGCCAAGGAACTGATCCGTGTTGTCCAATTCATATTTGAAAACGGCGATTAAGATAATCTGTCCAAAGCGCAACATTATGATTGAACATCGTCTTGTTGCGAAGTTAAATATATTTCAGAAAATTCTCAATTTCATTTTGTAAAAATTTCAGGTACCTTTCCGCTATTAGGCACAGTCAATCTCTTATAATACAAAACGTGGATTCTGGGTGCGTCAGAAGTGAGTGTTGTGGCGTCATACCATATCTTCGCAAGACTGCATCCTACTAATATTCTGTCTCTCTGTCAATAAAATTTCGAGCAGCTTAAGTGGAAGTTCCAGGATTCTCTATAAATTAATACAGAACCTTAATTATTTCTTTTTAAGTAAGGTATCTAACTTTTCGTTTTAATCCAATTGAACTGTCCGCGTTTTGCTATTTCAAGATTTTCATTTGTGAAATTGTTTCCTATATATCTGACTCTGCTTCTTAACTGCACAGGTTCTCCAAGCAATTCCCTGCATTCTCTTCGTGTTCTTCGTTATAATGCAAAACGACTTATTTGATTGTTTTTCGGCAGCCAGCGCTGTTATAGTGGATTGGGGTGTACCTCCACATTTTAACAAGTTTGGAGCTAAATATCTTAAAAACATTACAATATAAGCTGGACGAGCGCTACACTTTTAAAAAGATGACGGCGGCGAATTATTAGGGAACACCCTATACAACGCATGCGTAAAACACTACGCGCTATGATTTAATCAGTATAAAACATTAAAAAGCTATGTAAACATAAATATAAATATCACCGTCTAAACACTTTATTTTTTTTTCTTAGGTTTTTAATTAGGAATGTTTTCAAATTGAAGAAGGCACTAAAAAAAATATATTTTTGATTTAATTTAATTTAAGAGCAGTTTATAATAAAAAAAAAGGTGAATAACTATTTATGCAATTCCTTCTATAATTCTACGATTTTTGGACAAGTGGGAAATTTGATTTTGACGTTATATTTCTTAAGAACTTTTGATATGTTGTCAGTGATGTTTTGAATATAAGGGACAATAACAGTGGCATTGTGTTTGGAAGGTTGTGTTCAAGCATATTTTGGAAGGATTAATAACTCGAACGTGGAAATTATTAGAAAACAGAGCGTTTAGATAGTTTAAACGAGAGAATTGATAACCGATAATTTTTGGTTCGGATGGTGATGTGACAATGCATTAAGGTATCGGTCTCTGTATGTAGGCTCTCTTTAAACAGAATGGAAGAACATTATTAGTTTCTACTTCAATGGTAAAACGTATGTTCCGAATGTATCGTACCATGACGGCAAATAACAAAAAAGATCATCAAAGCAGCGTTCACATAATTTTGGTTTTAGATGGAAGGTGTGGAGGGTTTTTTCTCAAAAGCTTCCACATATATATTTGTAATGACTGATAATAATGGAGAATCCATAGCTGTTCTTGACGTTCGTAACTTTGACCATTACAAGACAAATATGTCCCAGACGTGTGGATATATCTGAAATAATGTTGAGAGTTTCAAAAATAGTGACTTTATTAAGGAGGGATTCTTTGTCGAAACTAACCAGAATATCCTGTGGATTAAATGGAATACTTTTTAATTCTTTAATCAAATGATAATAATTAAGTACGATACTATCAACTTTCCTGAAAAGGGTTTTAATATAGAAGTTTTAATTTAGTGGTGGTGACAATAGGTCGAAGGTGTCATCCAGAGAGAGAGAGAGAGAGAGAGAGAGAGAGAGAGAGAGAGCTGCGTTGGGGGGAAAGTGAAGATAATGCGACTGATCGCCAATATTCTAGTTGACCCGGTACTTAAAAAAAAACATGAATGGAAAGAAGCTTCTCAAAAATTTAAAATATAAGTACCTTCTTTGAACTACATTTACATAAAATATATTTAACGAAATTAAAAAATGTTTCACAAATACTACACTAATGCCTGGCATATTTCAAGCATGCGCAGATAATGTTTAATGAATTTCTAAGTTCTATACCACATTTGCAGAAACCGGTGCCTCTTCATCTTGCGCTGCAACATCAATACACCATACATCAGAGCTTCCGCGGTGGGAGGACACCCAGGCACGTATATGTCCACCGGCACGATGCGGTCGCATCCTCTCACCACCGAGTAGGAGTAATGGTAGTAACCGCCGCCGTTGGCGCAACTGCCCATCGAAATAACCCACTTGGGGTCGGCCATTTGATCGTATACTTTTCGAAAAGCGGGTGCCATTTTGTTGGTGAGTGTACCAGCCACGATTAACACATCGGATTGCCTAGGCGATGCTCTAAATACCACCCCGAATCTGAAAATGATGTGACTTAATTATGGCAACAAATTAATTAAAAGAGGGGATTTTTTTCTTTTAGAAATAAGTTATGCGTGGTTATAATTCTTATATATTATGATCAAGTAAACTAGTTTTTCCCATCTAATTGCCAAAAAAACTGCCGTTACCATATGGTAAATGTCGAAATATATGTTGTACATTGTAAAAAATGTTTATTTATTATGAACAATATAATTACATCTATGCATAAACTCATGTTGCACAAACTTTACTTTTTCTTTCTGATTATGCCGAATATCATCAGACACTCGGTTCAAAGTGACGCTGTTTTTAGAAGTAGATGGTCTACCCGATCCTTTTGAAACTGTTTTGTATTCCTCGAGATAATGCAAAAGTGACTTAATGGTGGTTAGCTCTTACGTTTACACCCGACAGATCCTGCGTTTACCTTATTGGTATCGACTGACCACGTCGAAAGAAGCCACTACCACTTTTTTCTTCTGAAAGATATCTTGAAATATTTTCGTCAATAAACCAGTTTTATTCTTTTTTCCTTGTGCGAGATTCTTTTTACTTGAGAAATGGCATTGAATACATGGCAGGTAGAGGCTACGCTGACTGCCACTTTACAACAATGATTCCGTCTTCCTTATCAATACCTGATGTAAAGATTTAGTGAACGCGTTTTTCGGAGGTAGAGAACAGGTTTTAGGAATACGATTGTCGCGGATTGTTCCTGTCCATTCATAACCACCAGATCTTCAGATAATGTAAAATATTAAAACCAAGCAAAAGGTCGTCCATCATGATGATAAGAGATGCTGCGTTTTGTCCAAATCCATTTTCATAGAAAGGGTTTCCCCTTGGATTGCTGCCTTGAAATGCATCAGCCATACAGCATTCAAACACAATACCTTGTAACCAAAACTCGTATACATTTTTTGCTTGGGTGTCTTCCAAAGTATTCTATCATTGATTCATCAAAGTTAAGATATTCAGAAAACAAAATTTTAATAAAATTTGCTCGTAGTTAGCTATCCGACGCAGTAGAATAACAAAACACATAGTATAACATAAACACCCACCCGAGTTTCTTAATCAACAACGCATCATGTATCCTATCAAACGCCTTGGAGAAGTCTGTATATGTATGTATCCCTTCCTCCTGTTACAAGGTGTTTACCAGCACGTCCAGGCAAGTAAAACGGTTCAATTCGGTAGATGAGCCTTTCTTGAAACCGAACCTCTCGTGAATTATTATTAGACCGGAATACAGCTTTTGCTGGTACAATGCATTTCTTTTTACTTAAATTACTTGTTGATTTTAAATGAAATTTAACTAGTTAATGTTTAAGAATAAACTAGGTTTAGTTATATTTAAAATAAAATACACGAATCATACATATGATGATGATGATGAAATATGACGTTGTCTATCATAACATAACATTCTAGTTTCAAATGTACCACTATTTGTCACAGACCACAGATTGTCCTTTAAATAATTACATTAATTACATTGCATTCATTTAACTCCAAGGATAGAAAGCCACTATCGTTGTCGCAAGAGGCAAGAAAATAGCGGAACTGCACCGAGATTACGATGCTGGCCGAGAAAAGAAGAAACAATTATCATAAGATGTCTTTTTTCGTGGTGAAGACAAACCAGTGGGAAACGTGTGTTTCTTGTTCAAATAGCGGCGAAAAGGAGAAAGTAGAACAAAAAACATTTTATCAGCAACATCTTCTGGAGAATCCACCCATCCAAAACTTGGGAAATGTCTTATTATATTTATTTGTTTACTTAAACTTTTGTTTCCACAACAATAATATAAAAAAAGGTTTTGGAATAATCTCTATGCATTTTTGTATGCCTGTTATTTATTTTTTTTAAAGACGTACTTTTTGTGTGCCACTCCTATTTGAAGAGGGCGATTTGTTTTTTTTCTCAGTGTCGTACTTATTATAATAAGGTATAACAGCAACGTTGCTGTTGCTTTTTTTTTGCTACACAAAATGGAATGTAATATGGATGTGCTAAAATGCTATCTCTTATGCTACAGTAACTTCGTTGAAGCTGGGCGTATGTACTTAAATAACTACCCACAGAGAAAACAACTGAGTACAAACTTTTTTGGAAGTTTAATTACAAATCCTAATCAATATGTTGTTTTTTTGGAACCAGTGTTTTACAGAAATGAACATTGCAAATAAGAAAAAGGAAATAATTTATTGTTAGGTGCAACTAAAAATCCGGAAACAGCTGTTAGAAAAATAGAACGTACAACTAATAAGCGTCAGAAACGTTAAAACTTTTCCAATAAATTATATGGTGGGACAAGAGTATGGTTACAATGAATGGAATTTTTAACCGGCGAGAGACTCCCCGAGTATATCGAATATCTGGACATTAACATCGTTTTGGGTTCAATATGTGAACTGGGATTTTTGGAACCCATTTAATATGGCGCTTATGGAGCACGACATTGAAGAATATTTGGACAACTTACCGCTTGCGAAAATTAGAAACTTGTTGGTTTCAACGGTGAATGGGTTTAATGGATTTAGGCAATATAGAATCATATTGAGATTTCGCAGAAATAAAACTTCTTACTTAAAATCTCTCAAAGCTATATTTCAGTTTTTATGGAGTATCTTCGAAAGCGTTTGGAATTTCTAAGTTTTTTCGTTAACCATTAAATTTTGCAACTTTTTTCTTAATTTATTTATTTATGTAGCATTTAGATCCGGTTCCATAACTTTTATTTTAAGCATTTTTGGGTTTTCCATTTATCGACAAAATGCTAAATGAATGAAATAAATGAAAATTGTTCTTTTCGAGAGTAAATTATTAGTCGTAAAAAAATTCGCGAAAAATATGGCTATTTGTTTTAAGTATTACTGTATCTACTATCGTATAAGCTACTCGAGATATTTGAAAAAATCCATATCAAAATCGGTATTTTTCCCGGTCAGTCCAGACGCGGTGACGACATTTATTATTACTGCATGGTTTGAGAAAACAAATATTTTCAATTGAAAAATACATATACATATACCAGGAAACACGAAAGTTCCAGGATATGTCGTTTTCATCTGTTTAAAAGATCTTCAAAAGTTCCGTTATTGTTCGTAAATTATTACATGAAAACCGCCAAAAGATAGAATTGTTGTTTAACAATGGCTGACAATAATTTTTAAAATCCATTTTTGTCAAATGTTAATTCCCTCTAAATATTTGTTTGTCAACCCACCCCACTCTAAAATTCAGTAACTTAAATGCCATTGAGTGAGAGTATAGTGCAAGGTTTTAATCAATTAATCAAACCGTTTTATTTGGCAGACTATAAACAATTGTAATTATGCGTTACGCTTCCTTTCCAAAAGTGACTACACAGCGATTATAGAAAAACCGATTATACAGGAACTGAACAGGTAATAAGTTGGTCTAACTCTAAAATTTTTGCAAGAAAATATAAAAAGTGCTACAAGTGATTCAAATATGTTTGTTATATATTCGGTTTGGTGGTCTCATCTCAAATGACTATCAACAATTACTCCTAGATACTTTAATTTGTTAGATTTTATGTCAAAAACTCTCGAGTTGAAATTTAGGGGTTGCTATAGGAACTAGACCCAGTTGTTGTAAAGTTGTTGTTTGTTCTTGTTAAAAAAATTACGTTTTATTTTGTCTTTTCAATGTTCCCAAGTATCAGTCTTCTACTAAAAACCCACGTCGTCCGCAAATGCAGTAGCGCTTGCCCCACCCATCACTTTAGAAGCATCATTAGTTTCACCATCTTCGCATCTCTTATGGATTCAAATATCCGCTTTACACACACATACACACACCCACGCACGCACGCACAAACGCACGCACGCACGTACACGCACACGCACACACACGCGCACATGCACGCACACACCCACACACCCACGTACGCACACGCACACGCACACGCACACGCACACACACACACACACACACACACACACACACACACACTATATAAATTTTTAATTTTTATAAAAATAAAAATAAAAACAAAAATTTCAAAATATGTGACAAGTGAAAGTAACAAATGGGAAAACCGAACCTGTCCATGTCGTATCTGGGCGCAGCTATGTGCATCATTTCAACGGCGCAGCAAGCCAGTCCGAAAGTCATTGGCCATATCGACCTACTCCTACTCCAATTGATCAAATCGTCAGACCTGGCCAAAACATACTCGAGCCAGTTCTGGTGGTCTTGGAATGGAGAGTACGTCCTCCATTCTCCTTTTTTGTATACTTTGAACATGTGTGGCGGCGGCTTTATATTTTCCGGCTTCGTGTTTGGACTGGTTGTGCTCCATAACCGTTTGACCAGTTTCACTCCAGCCGATGTTTTTAAAAAAATCGTCATAATTAAAAATGTCAATGTCAAATTGGAAGTTCCTCTATTTTTCCGATTTTGACAATGAAATTGATTTAGAGTCATTAAAGTTTCAGTTGACCCGCAGTAGTAGTAGAATAAAAAGATTTCTAATGATCTAAAAATAATTGAATACCATAAAAATCTAATAGAAAGTTTCGATTGTTCAACCTTGCATTGGGTGCGAAACCCACGCGGACCAAAATTACAGGTTAGTAAGTAAGTCGCTTCAAGATAAGGATATATTAGTTAATCTTTTAAGTAACGAAGAATTTAAACCAACTGTTACAAACGCTGCCAATTTCAATTAAAAACCTAGCTACTCACTAGCTATTAATGCAGGAATAAGTGGAAATGCTTCACAACAGCCATATGCCCCCAAAACTACAAAAAATGAGGTTCACAAGGGTATTAGACCAGCACAAACTGCCGTCCTCCAACCAAACAACGAATAATAAGGGAGCAACAATAATTGGAGCACACTGTAGCATATAAAAAGGAAGCCCAGAACAATATAGGGTACACACGGAATAGAAACGTTCACCTCAAACATTGTCATGTGTACCAAAAAAAAGGCTCACATTAACGTATACAGACTGCAACCTGGCATAAAAGAGCTATGCCAAAAGTTTCTTGGCATTTATTGATTGAAAAAACTGAACTTCGAGACATATTCAGCAAACTAATCGAAGTAAAAAAAAAGGCCAATAAATGTTGGCTAACAAACTACTCTCTGTTATCTCTCGGATGGAAATGACGGAAGGTTTATGGCCTGTGCATTAAAGTAGAACAAAAGCTTTTGAGAAATCCAGTGATATTAGAGCACATGCACTTTTACTATCTAAGGCTATTAAAATATCGCCCGTTACATCGGAACATCGGAAAGGGCAGTGGAGCAGTTGAAATCTGCACGAAAACAATTTGGATTACCATAATTTTATCGAAAATCTTCGACAATGTCGGACGAATAGAAATTGAACGAAGTTGACTGAAGTTAGTGGGGCTACTTTCTTTGGGGTTATATGAGACCTCGCTTCCATTGCAATCTACATGTTCCTATACCTTATCTCAATAAGTACGACACTGAGGAAAACAAGTTAATTACAAAAGGTGTTGTGACCCTTATTTATAGTATTTTTGTATGCAGGGTGTTCCGTTGTGCCAGAACAGTAATCAACTTTATTTCATTGATGTGTGAGTAGTGGAGGGTTTATTGGTGGGGATTTGGGTGGCGTGAGGAGTGGGGAGTTCAGGGAACATGATCTGGAACCCGCGAATATACCCTACTCTCGTGGAATAATAAAATTATATTTAATATTTAATATTTAAAAAATTGTTTATATCGTGAAATCCCGAATGACATAAATGCACTACGACCCAATTTAGTTCGAGACATCAGTGCTATTCCTGCTGGGTTTATTCAACGTGCAATATTAAAATTGCCAAGGGTAATCGCAAAACATATCGAAGCAGATGGCTTTCAATTTGAACATCTAATCTCTATTATTACATGCTTTTCAGGGTCATAAAAATTCCTAGGTTTCCGCTTATTTTATATTATATATTGAATACTTCATTTTTTGCTACACTAATAATTAGTTATCAAAGTATAATGTAATTAAAACTCTAGTATTTAACAAATACTTCGAGACGGATTGATATAATAATGATTTTGTTTCATGGCCACATTATTGTTTGTGTAAATTTGGCTTTATTGTCAATTTTGGGACGCCATTGTTTTTTTGTAATTGTTTTAATTTTTCTTTTCAGGATATCTCCGACTCAAGACTCACTCGATTTAAATTCAGCACCAAATTATGCAACTTTGCCTCTATTTAACCGACTTCGTATCTCTTCCGATTTCCGAGATACCAATAGTCCTGCTCGAACTTGAGAAGACCTGAAAAAGAGGAGACTATATGGTAGGACAAGCTAGTAATATTAAAGTTATATTTTGGTGAATTTGCACCAAAACTGCAATTACTGAAAATATAGGAGGAAAACGTCAGTGAAAGTTTGCTGGTAGAAAAATAATTAATATCCAATATCGCATTGCTAATATTGCACATATGAAAATGTTTGGTTGCTATCAAAATGAAGGTATCGATACCGACATTGACGTTATGGCCAACGAGAGCGCGGTTAGCGAATTTGAACCGATAAGTTGATTTTCTATAATTATGTTATCTACTTTTAATAATTTTATATCAGAGTTTTTTGCGTCTGTTTATTCGAAATTTATCAAATCACTCGTTAATGAAAAAAGCAAATAAAACTTGATTTGTATGTAATATAAAATAGAAATATCGCTATACAAAAAAATCTAATTTCCGATTCAATCACAGCCTTTTTCCACTTGGAAAGCACGAGATAGGTTTTGTTTGTACAGAACTCGAATCGTGTCGCTACCAAGTGTTTCATCTACGTCGCTGCCTCAAATACTTCGGTAAAGCTCCTGGTATTTGATCGCTGAAAATAAATTTCGTCGACTGTAACAAAAAGTTGAGACTTTAGTCAAGCAATATCACGTTTCTCGCACCGGTCCAACAACCAAAGTTAATCCGTTTAATAAGTGAGTATAAAATTAGAATTGCCACCAATTGTGCAGTGAGCTGTGGGTTACTCTGGAAAGGGTTTGAAAGCTGAGAATTTGTGTTTTCATGATTGAACAGCAACAATTGCATTCCAAAGCAAAACTTTAACAGCGTTAAGAACTTATTGTTCAGAAAAAAAAAACTTAGACCAAAACTGAAATATTAATTTAATTACCCAATTTGGAAAATAAAAAATTAACAGAAAATAAACAGCGAAAAATTATATACCAGGTGATTTGCATTGTCGAGCGGAACATTGGAAATTCCTTGTAAATTTTTAGGGGGCCAAATATTGGCTCCCTTGTACATTTTATAGCAAAGGAGCCAGTATCTTATCTTATTCGATTATTGAATTAAATATGATGGCTACATTGAGTTATATAGCTACTTATGACGAATATGTGTAAGGTCGATACAATAAACACTAGCGAAAATTTTCGATGACACAATCTCCAAAGCTTGACGACGTCAAGCTGCAAATGACATAAAGATTGTTTTACAATAAAGACATACATAATTGGTTTTTATTCAAAATAAACTAAGTATGTAAATATATCATTATGATTTTCTTAGAATCAAAATCATATTTGCTTCTTAAGACTTCCTCGTCCCTTAAAGCGTTCTTGGAATGAATTTTATTGAAAGGACCGTTTAATAATTAATAATTACAGTAAAAACTACGGATACAAAACATTGCTAAAAAGAAACATTTAAAATAAACATTATTTTTTAAAGAAATGTTCAAACAACATTCCATTAACAGTTAGACAATATCCTAAGCGGTCATAAAATTCATTTAAAACATTGCATTGCATAGAAAGAAGTCATTCTGGGAAAACTCAGGTCACGGCGGTGGCCAAAGGTTTCAGCTCTTTGGGCCAATAATATTCCCGTTAAAAGTATTTCCCAAATAAATACCATATTGGAATTATGGGCGGAACAACTCATCCATCTGGTACCAGATGTTCGAGAATAACTTGTAGTGCAGATTCAATTTGATATTGTAATAAATCCCAATAGGATTCTGCCATGAGATTATAGTCCATCAAAAATATGGTGTCCACAAATTCCCACCATAACATTTATTTGGTGAGGATATGGGGCTTCGAGTACCGACAATTTTGAATATTTGGCCTCGAATTTGCTAAAAATACATTTAGTTTTTGAAATAGAAGGTATAGTTTTGGCAAGAAAATAAACTGAAAATATTTCCGACACTGCTTCCATAATACCATTTAATTATGGTTACTGTTAAAGACTTAGAAAACAAATAGTTTTTATTTTTATAATTTTTATTTTATTTATATCCTAATCTTTAATAAATTAATATCTTAAGTACGCCAATAAAGGGTAATAATAAAACGGAATCGTGACAATATGTATATATATATATATATATATATATATATATATATATATATATATATATATATATATATATATATATATATGCAGACGTTTCGCCAAAATCTCACTTGGTATCTTCAATGCTCGCGCTCCGAAAACACTTCGGACACCGCCAAGTGAGATTTTGGCGAAACGTCTGCAGGATTCCAGTCGGAGTTCAACGAGCGAACGGATGATATCCCGGAATATAGTGTCATCACATTTTTCCATCCGTGAATCAATACTTGAAAAAAAATATATATATATATATATATATATATATATATATATATATATATATATATATATATATATATATATATATATGTATATATATATATATATATATATATATTATATTATATTATATATAAATATATATATTGTCACGGTTCCGTTTTATTATTATCCTTTATTGGCGTACTTAAGATATTAATTTATTGACGATTAGGACTGCCGTATTATTTGGGCGAGAGTCCTTAGTGAACGTGGCTAACGCCGATTAGCGGCTTAGCGCGGCATCTGTGGGTTGGTAAAATACTGGTTGCATAGTTCCCGAAAATTACAAATTCGGATTTGATTCCTAATGGATTTTATTTTCTTAACGTTATACAAAGCTGCTTTACAGCGAAGTAGTAGATTTTTCTATCGAAGTCAGTAGTAGTTCTGTTCCGGATTTCCGATGTATTTGTTTGGAAGTGTTAGGTTGGTATTGAGCCTAGGGTTATTTTGTTTTGCTAGTTTTCGATCGGTTCCTATTCTCAGGCCTCCATTCCCTCCAATTTTTTGTAGCTGAGAACTTATATTTAAGGTGGTGAGTGAGGTTTTGGGACTCCTTTTTCCTCGATGGATTTGATGGCGGCAGAACCCTGGTGAAGGTCATTGGAATATTGGTTGGAAATTTCCCGAGTTTGGGGATCGAGCCTTCCGCTGCGGCGACTGCGACTTGTTGCTTGGGTGCACAAGTTTCCCGAGAGGGGATTTATCAGCCGTCCAATTCCCGATAGAGACTCCTAGGGGCACCCGACATTGTTGGTCCCCACGTTAAGAAAACCCTCGTGGCCGAGGTAGGTTAACCTTGCTCTA